TTGTTGATATTCAACCACTGAATGTTTTACTTTTACCAATTGATAATGCAGTTCATACGATTCTTGATACATTAGGATCTCTTGTACAAACAATTGATGCATCAACAATTGATTCATTAATATTATTAGATATAAAATGTCGTATCGTAAAAGCATTATATGATGTATTGAATTATAAACAAGTTATTGAAATTTTCATGCAAAAACCTTATGCATCAATTATTGCTAAACTATCGACTTCAATGGATTATTTTGATTCAATTCGTAGTACAATACCAAATGATTTACGATTATTTAATCGATTACATTTAGAACAACATTATCTAAGTTTAGATAGATATCTAAGAAAAAATCAAATAGTAGAAAATAAACTTAATATCATTATTCATAATAAAAATGAATTGAATCAAATGAAAATTATTCGTGATCCTATTATTTCACAATATCTATCTGAAACAAATTCGATAGATCAAGATTGGAAACCAATTGCATCTAAAAATGAGATAAAATCCTATAAAAAAGGTCGATTAGGAAATTATGATATTCAGATTATTTCTGTACCTGATAATGATAATATATCGGTTTTTGAAGAATGTGGTATCAAACATAAATTCAAAGGACGCATTAATATAAATGATGACATTGGAAATATTCGATATCGAACTTTTATTCTTGATGGCATAGAAGTGAACGCAGGAAAATGGTATTTTTGTGTTAGACTTCCACTAGGTGGTGCAGCACTAATTGGCTGGGCAACGAAGGGATTTAATCCACCGTTACATGATAGTTGGGGTATTGGTGATGATAAATATTCATGGGGTTTCGATGGATCAAGAGGAGTTTATGATCATAGACAACGTAGTAGCTTTTATTCTGAAAATTCTTGGGATGAAGAAGCTGTATGTGGCTGTGGTATTGAAATTGATGATAAAAATACGAATATTAAATATTGGTTAAATGGTAGATTTATAGGTATAGTATATTCACATTCGGAAAATACAACAATTAAATCAGCAATTAAAACAAATTTATCACCAAATGGAATTTTTGCTACTTATTTTCCTGCTGTTACTGTTAAAGTCTATCGTAATGTAGCTAATACAGGTGTTTTCGAATTTATTTTTAGTCCAGAAGATATGACAAAATGTCCGCTACCAAAAGGATACAAATCATTATTAATGCCAAAATTATTGACAATGGAAAATGTACTAGTAGCATATCCTTCTAGTGCATATCTTATTAGTAATGATATTCAACAATATTTCTATACGAGTCGTTGTCCGAAGAATGACTTCAATGACAAGAAAATTTCTTTGCTACGTGATTTTGTTAATGATCAACATTTTGAAGTTCCATTCAATATTGATATGGTAACAATGGATGATAATTTATTAAAACTATCTAAAGAGAATGATGGCTTTCTATTATCA